CACACACACACACACACACACACACACACATGAACACACACACACACCCCACCACGCCGAAGTTGCGCGGCCCCGAGGTTTAGTCTCCCCAGGAAACGAATCAGTGACATTGCGACGACCAGTGCCTCCCGCAACTAGGACTGACAACCTGGTGAGGGCAGGCGGCTCCTGCGACATGTGTGTTTGTCCACGAGCTCGTCGACCTGTACAAGAAATAGCCACCCAGACTGTTCAGCAGGAGATCAACACAACTCCGCAAGAGCAACCAAGCAAACAGCACCTCACGAAGCACATCGTAAAATCCAGTTGGCGGCCTCGTACACACCTCCCCGAAATCGACGAAGCAAACAACACTTCACGAGCGGGATGACGAGCGGGAAGCAAGCAAAGGAAGACAGTGCTCACCAGGCTTAGCTTCAACGTCACCAAAGCCCACTGATGGCAGTCCCAGCACGATTGGCGCCCCCGTGCGCGTCGACGCGGCGACGACGTGCTCCAAACTCACAGGGAAGCTTGACAGGTTCGAGATGTCGGCGTCGATGACCGGCGATGGCATGAATTCATCCCCATCCCGATGGCGGAAATCCTCCATGTCCGCGACGGGCAATTTTAGTCTGTCCGTCTCCAGACAAAGAGCGTCGACGTCCACAACATCGACAGCTTGGGTTTCCTCCGTCGCCACTGTGTCGCATTGTGTTGTGCTCAAGGTCCCATGGATGTCCAACAACACCTCTTCCCCCCTTAACTTCTTGTCCTCGTGCGCTGTGTCTTTATCGTCGTCACTCAAATAGAGAAATCTATCTCCAACAGCGTCAGAGGACTTCTTCAGAACGTCCTCTCCCATCGCCTCGTCGTGAAGGCCGAAGTACAAGGGGTCGTCGTATGCCGGCTGAACTAGTTGCTCCATCCCGACGTCGCCGAGTGTCGGATCAATCCGGTCGTCGGCGGAATCGTCCTTGTCCAAAGTCGTGTGAAGTCGACAATTGTCAAGTCCTTTGTCCGTGTGTCTCGGATGAATCCGAATTACGGTCGTCTCCAAAGCTGCACCAGGGAGGGACATGCTCACAGGGTCCTGGTTCGGATTCATCCGAGCCACCGCAGTTTCCAACGGTGATGACGTGTCCGCTTTCACCGGAGAGTCGCTCAAGACTGCTAACTCAGTGCGTACCGTCACCAGGCATTCGGCTCCGAGTGTGCGGGGCTCGACATTGAAACTGGTCGCTAACTCACCCTCAGTCGGACAGTCTGCCTGCAGCTCCTTGTGGACTTCCATGCACAGCATGACGGTGTCCTGACACCGGTCGTCTGTCATAACGGACATGTCCTCCTGGTTCAGATGAATCCGAATTTCGCCGCCAGGGTTTTCGGAAACCCGAACCACCCGTTCGAGTTCCGCAGATCGCTGTGCTCTCTCAACGGTACTGGCTTCTGGGTTCGGATTAATCCGAACTTCCTTTTGAGGCGAAACCGAACATGGTTGGAGCTTGTCGCTGCCGGATCTGTGGTATGTTGTCGTCTCGCTTCCCGGAAGGCACTGAGTTCCGGACAACGATGTCGTCTCCGAGGTTCGGATAGATCTGAGACAATCGGCCAACCGTTTTTGGAGCTGAGCGAAGCAAGTTTCATTCTTTGCTGCAACTGCCCCGCCAACAGCATCGGTATACTGTGTTGCGCTGGTGGAGCTAATCACAGGGTCCTGCTCGCAAGGCCGTGTAATCCACCCAGGCCTGAAGTCGTTCCCCGTCTCCATTGAGGTGCTGCCTGTCACCGCCAGAACCCCACCGTCCTCGTCGCGGTCGACATCGGACCCCTGCCCGTCTCCTGTGTGATGTTTTGTCTTCTCTCCGCTGCGAGGCTTTTTCTTCTCCCGCCTGCCCTTTTTCCCCTCTTCACCGCCTGCGTGCCCCGGAGACCGCTGTTTCGTTGAGCGTTGTTCACTTCCACCTTCGGTACCTCGTTGCCCGCCGCCTTTACCATCCCCTTCGCCGTCCTTTCCGCGAGACTTGCGCTTCACAACTCCTGCCGGCGGGGTGCCCGCAGGCAACTCTTAACTCACTTGCTTAATTGACGGGCTTGACGGAAGGGCGTAGAACGTGGAGGACACTTCCAGCCATTTATTTGACTGCAATAAATCGAACAGCGTGTCCCTGTATTCGCGCAGAGCAGGATCGTCCTTACTTCGTCAATTGACCTCACTTAATCTCTCCAAAACTGCATCGTAGGCGCGAGATTTGAATATCTCGAGGTCCCAACGATCGTCATATATCCACCCTCCACTTACGTCCCTCACAGCCACTGCCCATTCGCCGTCGAGAAGGACTGGCTGGAATGGTCTGGGTGCCACACGATATCATGGCCCCAATCTTCGGCTGTGGAGAAGGTGTGTTTGTCGCCCATGTGGAAGGGAGTCGCCGGAGCCTTGAGATGTGGATGGTTCGGAGGAACTGGATGGCCGGGTCGAAGACGTTCGGGCTGCGGTGTGAGACGAATAGGCTCCCCCGGCGAACTCCTCAGACGGGACAACCCACCCCTCTTGACAGGCGCTGAGGAGGACACGGCCGTGGGGCCGCTCGAGGTGGGTGTAGCGAGAGGTGTCCCCGGTTTGCATACTGACGGCGACTCAGAAACTTGGGCATTGAAGATGGCCAATTGCCCGTCCAAATCGAAGAGGTCGTCCTCAACGCTCTCCTCCTGCTCAGTCTCGATATTGAAGTCGTCCTCCTCACCGAATGCCAGCTTGTAGTTATCCAACGTGAAATCGGGCGGATCGACAACATTCTCGTTAAAAAACACATATTCCAGCCTCTTAATGAAGCTCACAGCGTCGGCCCAACTCGCTCCGTGGTAGCCCTGGAGGACTGCAATGGCGACTTCCTTCCGCACCACGTACTGCGGGTCAAATCTCAACCTTGGTTGTTCGCTGTAAAGGAAGGAGTAGACCTGGCGCCTTTTCTTCGGAGTGAACTTGAAGAACATGTCCTTGTTCGGGTCATAAACGGGCTCGACCACGACATGGTGGAAATCGCATGGCTAAGCCTTGCACGACACTTCATGGGTGACATACTGCACGGTGTATTCGAGATGCATTGTGTCCCCATCCACGGCCAAGACGTGCCTTCCCTGCTGAAGCAGACTCCACACCACCTGCGCGTGCGGCTTGCCCAARAACAGCACGGCATCCGCCACACCACAGAAGAAAAGAAGCTGATTGCATAACTGATTCGGATTCCGCTCGCCGTCCTTGTACAGAGCCCCCCTCTGGGTGAGGTTTCCGATGTCCGTGAAAGTCAAGGACTTGAAAGACTTCTCCTCCACATCTGTGGGTGTCACTTTCTGTTTCTTATGGAGAGCGGCGTCGTCGTCTTCAGCAACAGCTTCCTCGTACACCAGGTGAGTCAGTAGCCGAGGATCCTCGCCTTTGAAAAGAATGTGCATCACATCCGGCTTCTCCCAGATGTTGTTTCCGAACTGATGCGTCTTCTTCGCTGCCGTCTTCCGAACCCACTTCCCCGTGTAGCATCGGGTAGCCCCAAGCGCAGACAAAGATGTCATGAAGGAGAGGTTCCACAGGCAGGGAACGAATACCACCAATGTCCAGTAGTCCTGACAAACGAAGCCCAGCAACTCACTCAGAGACGCGAATGCCCCAGAGTCCCATTGCGCACGGTCCACAGTTCCACACAAGATGAGCACGCAAGTGTGGGAGCGTAGCTGATGCCCTAGTTTTCCCAGCGCCTCCTTATGATCTATGGCACTCAATGCGTCGACGTTAAACTGGGCCAGCGTCGTCAAGGCGCTTGTCCTCGTCCACATGATGTTGATGCATTCATCAACGCCCCGAGGGCTTTTTTTGCCTTTGGCACGATCTCCCGTGATCACCGAAAGGACGACACGCTTCCACTCCACCGGGAAATGCTGGTCGTTGATAAGGGCCGCCGTTCTCTTGATGTTGTTGTCGTGTTGACACCCGAGAAACTGAGGGCACTTGTTGACGTACAGAAAGTCCGTGAAAAATTTCCTGCTCTCGTTCCAAAGCTTGCCGTCGAGACCTTTGTCCTTGAACTCTTCGAACAGTTGCTTCTTGGATCTGATGAACGTGGAGTTGGCATTCCACTCCCGCTTATCCATTTCCTCGTACTCGAACTCTACGTAGTATCACAGCCTCAGCATAATCCGGTCCATTTTTATTATGTCGACCATCTCCTTGACACTGAACTTCCCCTGCTCGGCCAACTTCTTGCTACTCGTTTGAACCCACACGACGTTAAGGTTCAAGACGCCGTTCAACAGCCTTTTCTTCTCGCGGTCCGTCAAGTCCACCAATTCCTTCCAGCAGTGGACATCCGGCTCAGGAACTTGGACGTAGAAAGTTTTCTCCTCCGCGGCTTTCTTTGGCTTCCCCTTGCCCTTTTTCAATGACGGGTCGTCCACCTTCACGTACCAGATGTGTTTCTTCAGCCCCTGGCTGTCAGTCACAGTGGAGAGTCCTGGCTTGGCCACCTCCTCATAGGTGGGCGGCTTTTCAGTCCAACGCCGGCCGTCAGAAGCAAGCAATTTCCCTTTCGACCACTCCTCGTAGAACTTCTCTCCCAAAGCGAAGACGGAGTCATCTGCCATGGCCAGCGGGAGGTAGTATCGAAGTTTCTCAGCCCATTGCTTTCTTTTGTTTTCTTCAGTTGACAGGTTCCACAAACGCGTGTACGGTGTCTTCTTCATAGCCAACGCCATGAACTGCACCCACTTTCGCACCTCGTCCTTTTTCTTCGACGCATTGTCGAGCACCACACGCGGTTTGCCCTTAATTTTCCAGATATTGCGAATGTCCCGCATAGACAAAACCTGCAAGCACGGTGGATTCTTCTTGTCTTTCATGTTGTCTTCGCAGCTGACATGGGCGTAGCCGTCGAAATCGTCGTCAGGGAAGTAGATCGGTCTGAACGGCCATTTACAGAAGTTGTAGTACTCAAACACGGGATGGTCTTTCACCTTCATCGCCGCCCTCGCGTTATGCTGTCCACACACAGGATAATACCAGTATTTCTCCGGCTGTGAGTTGTTGAAGTCAGCAGGCAGCACGCGCACAACAGGCTCGCCGTTCTCTGGAGGCGCGATGATCGGAGCGAGAACGAAAATGGGCTTCGTGTATCTCATGTCTTTACGTTCGTAGCAGTCGATTATAGCCAACGCGATGGTATCAACGAGGAACTCGTCCAAGGATCGATGGTTGTACACGTCTTCCCAATCTGGAATAGCTAATATTATTTCGGGATGGATGGCAAGACGACGTCCTTCTGCACCCCTGTCTGCATCTCGAGGAAGAACGCATTGTCGAGGTTGAAGGCATTGAGGTTAATGTCCACGTCGTCATCTCCCTCCCCGCTGTCGCCCTCATCTGCTTTCTTCCCCCTCGATGATTTCGACCGTTTTCCGGAAGACTCACAGGTTCTTCGCTGTGTCGACGAGTCTTTTGGCGTTTCATCCCCACCTCCAACCCTTTTCCTCTTCTCAACGGAACCGCCCTCTCGTGTTGTTGGCGTCCAAGCACTCCCTCCTTCCTTTCTCTGCCTTTTAAGAGCACGTACTCCCTTTCGCTCTTCCTCATCCGGCAAGTTGCGCTTTCCTCCCGACTGAGTCTTTTCAGCCGATCTCTCACACAACAGCCCCTGCTCGGACACCTCCTCCTCACCGGCGACGTTCCCACTTGCTTCTCATTCCAGGCTCAACTCCGTCTGCAGTTGCGCAGGCGCAGGTCGGGTCCGGCGAGTCGTCTCATCTGACCCACGCACCTCTCGAACTTGAGGACCACCCGCGCGATCTCCAAACGAAACCTCGGCCACCTTCATGCCACGAACGAACAAACCAATCCTTTCGACCAGACCACGAGGAGTCGTCGATTCTGAGCCCTGCCGCAACCGTTCGCCATCGCCGCCTCCACGTGGCGTCGACTCCCCAAGCAAACCTTGGCGGCGAGATCCATGCAAGCCCGGTTTCGAAGAAGCACGCGGATGGTCGTCCTCCGAGTCGTCTGACATGCCCACCTCTTGATCAGGAGGCGTAGCTGGCAGGTTACCCTAACCTCCCATCCCCCTTTCATAGCACTCTCCTCCCGCGAACCCAACAGGACCACTGATCGATGTCCCACGTCCGACGTCCACGGCACTGACAGAGGTACCAGATCACGCCCAGACCTCGAGGAAGTCTGTCACGTGAACGGTCTCGTCGTGCCCCGGCGCTAGCGGGACAAAGTACGGCAAAGACATTGCACACCGACCGTACCCGCCGAACATCCTCCCGGCAACCTTGCATCCTTTTGCGATGTCGTCGACGGAACCATCACTTTTGTAATGCTTCTTCAACGTAAACTTGAAATTGTATTCGCCAACGTCGACCCACTGGACGATGGACCCTGCGAGACGCGTTCTGTCGGCGCGAACTGCGACGAACAAGAGCGGCCCGCACGGTGGTTGCAACGGGCTGGAGCCGTCCTGGCTCGCCCGGTCCAAACACCAGACACGTTTGCTATAGTCGCACCACAAGTTTTGAGCCCGTCGTTCTTCCTCCCCACCGCCACCTCCCCGACTCGTTTCCCTTGCCGGCAACGACGTCGTCCATCGACGCTCCTCTCCATGCGGGGCGGAACCACCAGCAGAGCGGCTTCGTCCGTGTGTAGCCATTCCCTGAAACACACGGAGGAAATGAACCCACATGCACTCAGAACAGTCAGCACGTCCCAACATCAACCATGACCCACAGTACGTATTCTGTTATCGGTCACCCGGACCCCAAAACAACGAAGTTCAGTCATAGTTAGACGACAGTGGTCCCCACGCGTGCACGTTTCGGATGAATCCGAGGCATCGTGAGCCATCCTCGTCACAATGCCCTTAAGATAACGAATGGTCGAAAACGAAGACCGCAGGATAGATCGGATACATCCGAAGCAGGCGCAGTCGAAAAACCGACGTCGCATAGACACCTGCACCGGGAAAAGCAATACCTAGCAAGAAGGCGCTAGATCGATGACACAGCAGACGAAGACGAGCACCCCGTGGTGATACGGTGTCATCCGAAGTCGACAAGCGGATTGTAAAGTTCGCCGGTGTAGTTCGGATGCATCCGAGCTCCAAAGTGATGTTGACCACCCCTTGCGGCCTAGACCAAACCGAACTCGAGTTTTTTTGTCCTTCTGAGTCGGTAACGGTTGTGACTCGGATGCATCCGAATTCGAACAGCGCGGTCCAGAGACGGTCGTCCACAAGAGGGCACCATCTACAGCACGTGTTTTCGTCACCGACCTGTGAGCACTGGGTTAACCCTATCCTGCCTGAGGTTTGGTTGGGTTGAACCTGAACTTCGCAAATGTGGCTCGGATTAATCCGAGACGGGGACCGGCAGATGGACCCCACGGTCTGTTGACCCCCATCCAGCCGTCCAAGCTTCCATTATTCCCCAGCTTTCCTTGGGTCCACCCGAATTTCGCACGGTGTGTCTTCGTCCTTGTGCGTTTAAGACGGGTGTGGCTCGGATTTATCCGATTTCGACAGGGGTTGTCCCCATACGTGCGACCACGACAGGCTGCGCCGACACCGTGTGCTTTCGTCGTACAAGTTTGTCAGACCATGTGACGTCGTCAATACCCTCTCGCATGTTATAAATCCGAACAAGCCATCGGTGTTGTTCGGATTAATCCGACTTCGCCGAGGCGCTTCAGTTTGTTGTCGCCCCACCACACACCGGACCTCCCCGCGATTGTCGTAGAGTGTCATTATAATATGTGCGTCATCACGGGGGATGTCGTCGTCCTCGTGAGTTCTAGTTGGTTGTTGCTCGCCCAATCTAAACAACAGACACGTTTGCTGTAGTCGCAGCACAAGTTTCAAGCTCGTCTTTCTTCCACCCGAGCGTCACCATCTCGACTCGTTTTAGTTGCATGAATCCGAGGCATCGTTAACCTTCGTCATCAGACTGCCTCTCGTAGAGCGAATGGTCGAAGACGAAGACGGCGGGGGAGTTCGGACACATCCGAACTGGGCAGAGTCGAAAGTCTGGCATTGTGACTCGAATGCATCCGAATTAGCACAATGCGAGACAGAAACGGCTGACCACAAGAGGAGGCCATCGACATGGCGTGTTTTCCTCAATGACCTGTGAGCATAGGGTGGACCCTATCCTATCGGAGGGGTGGTTCAGATTAATCTGAGACGGGGACCGGTGAATGGATGGCACGGTCTGTTGACAGCGTGTGATTTCGCCGTTCACGTTTATCAGAACGTGCGACGTCGTAAATACCATCTGAGCATGTGACAAATCCAAATTTGTCGTCTGTGTGATTCGGATTAATCTGAACTTCGCCGAGGTGCCTCGGTTAGTGGTCGCCCCGTGAGTTTTAGTGGGTTGTGGCTCGGATGCAACCGAAATTGACAAGGGTGGCTCGGATACGTTAGTTGTTGCGCCACCACAAGATGGCATGGACAGGGTGGGCTGTCGTCCTCCTGGTTGGTCAGACATGTCGCCGTCGACAATACCCTATGAGCATATGATCGCTCCGTGTCCTGTCCTGTGTCCACGTCAGCGGAAGGGTTCCTCGCGGCGTTCGGCTGACGCGAGGTTTGATAGGGTTTAAAGATTTGAATTCACGTTCGCGTCCTGTGTCTTCGGATCTGTCGTAGCAGTCTTCGGATTACTGATCTGTGATTGCACTTAGGGGGGACCAACCTAAGATCGATTGAGCGACTATCTGCGATACACAAAGATTGGAGAAAGGCAGAAAATACGCACAAACACGGAAGGGAGACTAAGATCGATAGAGCATGGGCAGCGAGAGAGCTTGTCTTTATCTCTCTGTCTCTCCATGCGCAGATCCTGCGGATGGTGTTGTCCATTTCGGAATTCGCAATGTGACCCATTAATAAAATTGCGCAAAAGAAATATAAGAAAAAATTGTTCGTGTCGGCGAGAGGAAGAGTGATGAAAAATGTGAAAGATTCGACGAATGTGGAGGACAATTTACGGATACAGAACCGAATGCCGAGCGAACTGCACGACGCGACTTACACGAGAAAACGAATAAACAAACCGAACGCAATAAAAATTAATTCAGCGAGAAGAAAGTCCATGTGCAATCCAGAAGAGACACGTTTCGTGAGAAACCATGTTCTCGTGCTCGACAAGATACGACTAAAATCCTTATATCGCAGTTCGTGAGAGAGACAACAAATTGACGACAAGCGAGTAACACTTCAAGAAAACATCTGAAGTGACGACACAATCTCGAAGGGCGTGTCACAACATTCTCGGGCTACATTCGCGGGTCCCGTTTCGTTGGTGACCACTCGCCCCGATCAGATGGCACGCTCGCACGTCCACGTGTCAGCTCCTGAACATGCGTGGCCACACTAATGGATGTGGGGCTCAATTCGACAACATTCTGTTGTCGCATAAAGCACCACATCCATCAGCGTGGCCACGCTTGTTCGAACATGACACGTGGACGTCTGAGTGTGTCGTCTGATCGGGGCGAGTGATCGCCAATGAAACGCATGCATTCTTGCTCCCGAAACTCCTTCATCTCGCCCCGATCATGCGTGGCCACGCTGATCGGGGCGAGTGCTCGTGAACGGAACGAGATCCGCAAATGCACCCCGAGGTAAGTTCGGGAAAGAAACAGGCCATCGCATAAGACGAACGAAATAGAGGCGTTGAAGACAAACTAACGACGGGGACGAAGATGGTAGTTGAACACGACGGCACACATGTCCACGTGTTAAGCCCTGATCATGTCTGGCCATGCTGATAGGTGCGGGGTTCTATTCGACAACATTCTGTTGCCGCATAGAGCCCCGCATCCATCAGCGTGCCCACGCTTGTTCAGGACCCGCCACGTAGACGTGTGAGTGTGCCATCTGATCGGGGCGAGTGGTCGCCAATGGAACTAGAGGCTCTGATAGAAAACTAACGACGGGGATGATGATGGTGGTGGAACACGACGCTGTTGGTTATGTCTCGTTCGTTTGTCTGCGCTTGTCATCTACGTTCGCAAACTTTGTGCGAGCGACACAGACAAGCGCAAAAAAACGATTGAGATAAAAGACAGAAAGAGAGATAAATATATAGCGAGAGAGAGAGAGCGCGACAGAGAGGCGATTTCCGCCTTCATCACACGGCCCAATCAAACGTCACGATCAAATGGCCCCGAACGTCACCTCGATCACACATCGGACTCACGGAGAGAAATCCCTATTAGATCACACGACACTGCTCGTTCGCGGCGACTGAACCCAATGTAATCGCCACCGCGCGAATCCCGACCACAGATCACGTACATGTGTGGGCATTCTGATGGTCTACGCAAACCCAGCATGGCAGGACTTTTCAGGTCGGTGGAGATGGCGAGAGAAAGAGAGACAGAGGGAGAGAGAGAGAGAGAGAGAGAGAGAGAGAGAGAGAGAGAGGGAGGGAGAGAGAGAGAGAGGGAGAGAGACAGAGAAATAGAGAGAGAGCGAGAGAGAGAGAGGGAGAGAGAGAGAGAGAGAGCTATATAGAGACAGAGAAAGAGAGAGAGAGAGCTATATAGAGACAGAGAGAGAGAGAGAAAAAGAGAGAGAGAGCGCTAGAGAGAGAGAGAGAGAGAGAGAGCAGGAGAGAGACAGAGCCAAATAGAGAAAGAGAGAGGGGGAGTGAGACAGAGAGAGATGAGAAAGGGAGATAGAATGAGAGAGAAAACGCACCTTTTCCTTCCTTGATTTACAACTGTTGTTGGAAACAATGGCCCCGGCGACCTGGCTGATGATCTCAAACCGCAATACGACAACGCGTGTCGCGAAGCGCGAAAAGGGAGGTGTCGACGCGTGAGAGGGCAAAACCGCGAATGGAGACGTGGGCGATCGCGACGCGAAGGAGATGGCAAGGCAAGCGATATGGCGATGAGGGAGAGGGAGAGAAGCGAGGTAGACGGCGGGGGAGATGGTAACGAGATGGCCGTGTCGCTGGCAAGGGCGGGTGGTACGGGCGCGCGACGGGCATTTTCGGTCGTGAGGGTTAGCGACACCAGCGATTGCCTGCTGCTTTGGACGATTGCAATGCCCACCTGCAAATTCGCAGAATGGCGCCACCATCATTCGAATGGCGGATACATCCGCGCGGGGCCCAAGAAACGAAAGTGGGCAGGATAAGTCACGCGGGATGACGCATTGGAACCGTCGATATCACGGTAAAATCCGTGCGGGCCCCGATAATTAAAAATGGGCGGAAAAGTTTGCGCTAGATGATGTGTTGGAACCGTCGATAGCACGGTGAAAAAAGGCCAGTCCTCTCAAAATCACGGCCCGCCCTCCCGCGACGGTTTCGGATCGCGCGATTTTGTGAGGACGGTCCGTCAAAAAAGTGACCGCCTGATGTCACAGCCCCCGACGAGGCAGTCCGCCATTACTGACCCTGCGGTGGGCAGCTGAAGGGCCCCTCAAGCCCCACTCACTCCACTCACCGTTCTCCTGTCGGGCACCAAACGTATGGGGGTGGTTGTCACACCCATTCTCTGGTGTCATTTCTTACGTGTGCTGCCTTTGCGACGCGTCCGCCATCGCTCGAAGTCGCCGGCATCATATCGCAAGCCCCTTGCGCGTCCAGGCCCTCGTTCTTCCAGCAATCATCGACAACGGGGGGTGCTAACGAAAACGTCACGCGACTGTAGACCTTGCGCGTCGTCCTGTTCGCGTTGTGCTCTTCTTGCGTCGGCTGGTAGCGTTTGTCGACTCACAGGTCAGTAAGAAGCCCACGCCCCTTCACCATTTCAAGCCCCCACCTCTTCCCATTGCCCTTCCGCTCCTTCGACCGTGCAAGTCTTGTTCTCTTCCACCACCTCCTCCGCCAATCACGCGCG